CGCCTAGAACAGAGTTGAGCACTGAAAAGCAATCAGTAAAGGTTATTTTCATGTTCTTGGAAACTCTCGTCAAGAATTCTTGGCATCTTTTTAAACTCCTTCTCCTCTTCCATTCTGTTTTCCTCGGCCAGTCTCTTCTCTGTGATTCATGTCCATGCTGGATAGTTTCTGTCGGCCTCTGCAGATCCACTCGTACTATGCCAGGCACCAATCTAAGTGCTTAACCTAAATTGGTTCATGCAGTTTTCCCAATAATCCTGTGAGACACATGCTATTAATACCCACATCTTACATTTCACAGAGGAGGAAACTGAGGCACACAGCCATTAGGTAACTAGCCCAAGCCACACAGCTTTTAAGTGGTAAAAAAGAGATTCTCGCTTCTATGCCTTGATTCATGCTGACTCTGAATTCCTTCCTCTCCCCTGCTTGTCTACCAGATACTCTTTTCTTCCTCATCCTCATCATCTTTCAAGACCTGTCTTAGATACTGCCTCTTCCATGGTGCTTTCCGCAGTCATTCCAGCCAGCATTCTTTTCTTTTTCACTCCCCTTGCACCTAGAATTACCACCACGTAGTTTGTTCCTTACCTTATTCCCCAACTTGATTAACCTCTTGTGATCAAGGAACATCGTTTATGATTTGGCTGTCTTCTCCATATCACATAGAATAGTGTTGAGACTACAGTGATGAAGCTTTTGTTTTATTATTATGTTTTTTCCTTTTTTTGCATAGAATTTGTAATACATGGTAGAATTCCAGGATGTCATCAGGCGATAGTCACTTACCTTACAAACCAACTGTTGTATTCTAGGCTGAAGGAATTTGTATAGATGTATTCACCTAGCACTGTGCCTCGCTAGATGTTCAATAAATATTTGTGGAATGATTATTAGACATTTAAAAATCTTTCGATTGATTTTTATTTCAGTGTTAATTGTTCAGAACCAAGAAAATATGTGTACCTTAAATCCTGTAAATAAAGGAAAATAATGTCGTAAAAATAGGGGGAAATAAGGATGAAGTAAATGCTCTTCTAATGCAAGCGATCTTGATATGTTTAGGGAGTGGGCTTGTTAAACAAAAGATAGAATGATCAGGGTTTTTATTTGGGTCAGAGAGTAATTTTAATTATAGTCTTTGAAATGATAAAATACCTGGGTGGCCGGAACCCAAACCAAGGTGAGTGGCTTCTCTGAAATGTCCCAGAGCAGTTGTTCTGAGGTCCCCTAAAAGAGTCAAGTATACTGAGAAATGTGTTTTAAGCAAGAGGACTTATTCTGTAGTGAATAGACAGGTGTTTACTTGTTCAAGAGAACTTGTGTCCGTCTTTTATGAAAACAGTTCTCTGCTTCTCTGCTTCAGGTGGTCTATTCTGCCATTGATGGCTGCCCTTTTGCTCCTTTCTTTGTCATCTGTGCCGAGAACACAGCTCTGAGTGTATAGTCTGCCTGCCGAAACACTGTGAAGTCTCTGTCGTCATAGGCTGCTCCTCATCACACAGTTGTGCAATGGGTTTATGTTGTCAAGTGTAAAGTAATCATGGGAATGCATGTTCCCAATAACATCTAATGTAACAGAGAGCTAGCTGTCTTCAATTTACCTTTCAAGTGATTTCAAAACCTCGCTTTTCTAGGGGCTAGCCCAGTGGCGCAAGCGGTTAAGTGCGCGCGCTCTGCTGCAGCAGCCCGGGGTGCGCCGGTTCGGATCCCGGGCGTGCACCGACACACTACTTGGCAAGCCATGCTGTGGTGGCGTCCCATATAAAGTGGAGGAAGATGGGCACAGATGTTAGCCCAGGGCCAGTCTTCCTCAGCAAAAAAAAAACAGGAGGATTGGCAGATGTTAGCACAGGGCTGATCTCCTCACACACACAAAAAAAAACCTAGCTCTTCTAGTTCTCAGATGTAAGCCTGTAGTCAAAAGCAGCACGGAACTTTACTTCCTATTTCCTAGTCAAAAGCAGCACGGAACTTTATTTCCAAAATTGTGTAATTTTTCCTTGTTCTGAGCCTGACTTTTTACGTGTGGTTTGATTTCAGATGCCTCTGGCACAGATTTTCTTGCCTGCGGAGGGACGGTAGAGGTCAGAAGTAGAGAGAGTACATGGCATTCACTCAGTCCATGCATGTTACTGGGGGTCTGCTATTTGACAAGCATGTGATTAACAAAAAAAGGCATGGTGGGGGAGAGACAACTAAAAGGAACATACACTAATAAAGTGCGATAAGTGCTATGAAGAAAACAAGCATGGTATAATAGCTAATGGGGTGAACCCAGTCAGAGTCATCCCTTCTGAGGAGACATTAAACTGAAGCCTGAAGGCTGAGGACATTGCCCTGAGAAAGTGAGTGAGGGAGAGAGGCTCGAGGCTCAGGAAAGCTGGCAAACCGTGCACATTTTTGTTAAAGGATCGCATGGTACTAAAAACTGTGGTTATAAATCATAATTCCTATGGCTCTTGCTATTAATATGCCTCAGTTCATTGCCCAGCTCCCTAAAAAAATCAAGATCAATTCCTAGTGAGTAGGATACAACTTAAAGTTAAACTAACTCCTTCTTGATATTACAAACACAAGACATCACAATGTTTTATTTCTTTAATTTGCTTCTTTAATACTGGTATCTAGTATCATCCTATTTGAACTTCAGGGGCAAATGACTAGAAAGGAAAAACCTGGAAAGGCTATCGGTTAGGGTATTTCCCACTATAGGTATCAGAAGACTCAACTACCAGTAGATTAATTGCATGGGGTTTACTGACTTACTTAACAAGTATGGGGTCAGGCAGTTCCATGGTAGGTTAACACAGTGTCCCAAAAACATAATCGGGGACCCAGGTTCTCTCCATCTTTCCGAGCTGTCATCACTGGCATGTAATGGCTTCTCCCTCCTGCTCACAGAGGGGATACAGCAGTTTGGGGCATTACATTGTTGACGCGGTGGTAGCCAGTGAAAGAAGGGCATTTACTCTGGTGTGTTTCTTTAGAGATGGGAAATTTTTACCTAGAGCACCTCACCCTCTCACTGCCACCTCCATTCCCCCACTCTCACTGGCCAGGGCTACACCACATGCCTCTGGCTAAACTAATCCCTGTCCAGGGGATTGAGACCACTCAAATGGACTCAGATCAGTCACCTCTGAGTTTGGGGAGGGGGTCAGCTTCTCTAAGCACACTGAAAGGTGAACACCCATTAAAATCAGGGAAAGTTCAGCCAGGAAACAAAAGGGTGTGCATAGGAGGAAAGAAAGGCTGTTGGGAAGAGCAGGAGCACAGGCCTCAAGTCCACAGTATTACTGATGAGGCCAGGTGCTTGTATCTTCTACTGCATACTTAGGGACTGTCTTGTTCCCAGCACTGTTGGGTAAAATGGTGAGAGGCAGAGGGTTTGGTGAACTTCAGTGTTTATTTACATTGTTGGCCTTACGAGTGCTTTCCACCATATCAGTGAAGTGATGTCAGGCACACGATGCCTTGACATGTCTGCAATGAACCTTTTTTTAACTTAGAAATGTCTTATCATAAGATATAAAATATAAATAAGGAAGTATACACAATGTGTATGTATAGTGTAAAGAATAATGATAAAATGAAGGTCTTACCTATTTCTAGTATCTTTGAAGCTCCCTGTGTGACCCCCCCGCCCCCGTTGCATCCACTCCTCTTCCCGAGAGGTAATCACTACCCTGAATTTCTGAGTGAATCATTCTCTTTCTTCTCTTTATATATGTATGTTTCCCTAAATTTGTTTCTCAAACTTTTATACGTATCAGACTCACGTAGAGGGCTTGTTAAAACATATTTTGCTGGACCCTAACCTAGAGTTTTTCTGATTCAGTAGGTCTGGAATGAAGTCAAAAGTCTGCATTTCTAACAGTTTCTCAGGTGATGCTGATGCTGCTGGCCCAGGGACCACCCTTTGAGAACCACTGCCCTTGCAGTAGACTGTTTAGCTTTTGCCTGTTTATAAATGGAAGCATATTGTATGTATTCTTCTGTAACTTGCTTTTTTAAAACTTGACATTATGTTTTTGAAATTCAGCTGTGGTGATATGGATAGCTACGGGTCATTAGTTTCCACCATTGTATAGTATTCCATCTCTCCTTAATCTGTACCCACAGCCCTCTGAGGGAAAAGGAAGAGAAATAGGAAGCAAATTGCTGAGGCACCAACAGAAGTAATTCCGTACCCATCAAGCATCCAGCACCAATGCCCCCTGGCTCACATGGCTCAGGGTACTGTTGCTGCCCTTGGAAAGAAAGGTTCTGAGGTGTCACCTCTCCTCAGAGCCCTCCACTATCCAGGAGGTTTAGGAGGCCTGAAGTGTACCAGGCATAGCAGGACCTGCAGACTCTCCAGGGCCTTCTGGCACAAAATAGACCTTATATCATATTACATTGGCCTACCCTCATCAAATTAGGATAGAATAGGATGGAAGGGAAGGTAACAAACTTAATGTTTGCTTAGAATGGGTTAGGCACTGTTGAATAAATTGATTACAAAGGATCAGAAGGACTGAGTTTATGAAAGTATGAAAGAAATATGTTCTCTTTCAAATCCTCTCAACAGTCATATGTGGTATATATTTTTATACCTGTTTGTAAGAAATGTTAAGAAACTTGTCCAAAGTCATAAACCTGATACAAGATAGGGCCAGATTTTAAATCTAGGTCTGATTCCAAATCACATCATGTTTTCCCTTTACATTGCTGCCTCTCTAGGACTAAACACCTTCCCTAGCTTTGACATTTATCTAACCCCTGAGGCATACTGCCCTAAGGTATTTGAACTTTCTCTGAAAACTGGTTCCAATTAGTGTTACCTGAACAGTGAAACCAGCTTTTGTTGTTCTTTCCATAATTAGTTGGAATAGATGTAGCATAAAAAAAGGGGGAATGACACATTGGCACCTTGTTTTCTTTGTTGGACTTGAATGTTTAATTTGGATTTATAAGCCTGACCACTGACTACACTGCCTTGTGCTTTTGTCCTGCAGGGGATTTCCAAAGAAGTCCAATAGAACTGCTAGAATAGCCTCTGATGAGGAGATTCAAGGCACAAAGGATGCCGTCATTCAAGACCTGGAACGAAAACTGCGCTTCAAGGAGGACCTCCTGAACAACGGCCAGCCGGTACTGAGAGAGATATTTGGGGCCTGGACTTGGAATATTAGCTGCCCACATCAAAGAGCTCTTCCCTTGCTTCACTAAGGCTTAGGTTCTTAAGATTTGTCCACAAAATTGATTTTATTACCCCTGAATCTCAACAGTCCTCTTAGTACTATGGCTTGAATCTGGGGAAAAGGGAGAAAGATGGCTTCCTTCTACTCGGCCTTCACTGCTCCCTCCTAGTCATGATACCATTCTTGGAGTGAAGACAGCAAGTTGGAGATAAAGGAAAGAGGAAGGGCTGATTTGAAGACTGGGAGTAGAACAAATGAGTAACCGTGATGTTATAAAGAAAAAGGAACATGGGATTCCACCCCACTGGATGGGGGTTGGGGAGAAGGGAGAAGGTGTGCTCTGGAATAATTTGTATCTACCCAGAAGCAGTGAATTGGAATTAAAGTACCAAAAGGACAATTTGGATTCTATGGCATGTACTGCTTCTACCCAAAAATATCTTTGCTGAGGAAACCCCTGCTGAAGTCCAGTTCTGTTCTACTAGACTATTACTAGATGTTGATTCAGTAATCTGAAAGAGTAATGGCTGTTTCACGATCTTGTGCTAGTTTGTCAGGGCAAGACAACTAGACTCAAGAAAAAATAATTATGTTTTAAGGCTGCAGAATTGTAGAGTAGATAAATAGATCTGGTAAAAAAATATATAAGATGTTTTCCCCATTGGACTTAAATGTTTCCTCATCAGTTGTTAAGTTTTTTGTTTTCTACTGACCCTTTTCTTACCACATCAGAGTATTTCAAGGGGATCGGAAAAGCAAGCTTAGCAAATAGGATTTCTCAGGTAAAGGAAAGGAGTGTTTCGCGGCTTTATTATGGAATCATCACCAGGAAAAATTTGTCTGGCTCTTAAGTAGAGGAGAAAAAGGGCCTCTTTGTATAAAATCTCCCTCTCAAACACCTTTTTCAGAGTAGAAAGTTCTCTATGTTAATTGTTTCCTAGGAATTTTAATTATCAAGCATTGATAAATAAAAATGTGAGAACAGACTATGTTTGATTGGAAAGGTGGGGAATAGAGGAGGGGTGTTGAATGCCTTTAATTATTAGGGCATCCTAATCTGAGTTCAGGAAGATTAAAATTCTAATGAGATCTTGTGTTAGTTATTCATTTCACTGAGAATAGAAGATTTTCACAAAGGGAAAATATTTTCTCCTTGAAATAAGTGATTGTATGTGCACATGTACATACTCTGGAAGTTTTCCCTGGCTCTGTCAACTAAGCCTTTGAAAGATTAAGACAAATACTTATGGGAACTTTTTCAAGACAGGTAAAGGCATCTCTCCAGGTTTTTTTTTCTTTTTGGTTGTTGGTTTAAATATTCTTTATGGACTAAGATTCTCTTGGTTAAAGTAGATGTCTATAAGCTATTATACCACGCTATGTATGTATATTTATATATATCTGCTTTATATATATATATATCTTTTATATATAAATATATATTATTTATAGTTATTTGTTTAGCAGTGAATGATATTCACAATATGTTCCATAGATTTCCACATTTGAGAGTTTAAAAGGAAAGGAAAAGTTAAGTTTCCCTTGGGACCCTCAGACAATTTTTTCCCAATGTTACATATTATTCTGTTACCTATTTTTGGCTTCTGTAGACAGGGCTTATCTATCCACATGGCATAGTGGTTTAGAAACAAAACTGTGAAGGAAATTTGGCTTCTAATGGTAGCAGGTGCATTCTGGTAAAGGACTAGATATCAAATTGATATTTCTGCTTATAAGGAACAGGGTGGAAATTACTCCAGTACTCCCTTTGACGTTGATACAGTTCTCTCAGAAAACATTAGGAAGGCTTTTAAGAGAGCAGGTATTTAAAACTCTTTGAAAATTGAATTCATTGATTTCTTAACAGAAGTGAGAAAATTAATTTAAATAATAACATACTGGACTGAGACACTCCATGCACCAGTCAGACACCTACCTCTGCCTCCCCTTGTCCTCGGCCCCTTCTGCATTAATTGAAATCATTTGAACTTTGGGACTAGTTGTCATTTGGCACTTGACTTGTTTCACTTCCCGGTTTCAGCTGGGACTAGAACCAACAATTACTGGAAATTGTAAATTTACCCAACATATTTTCCTGATTAGAGAGTTTCCAATAGAATTTGCATCTATATTCAGAAGTTTAGAAGTTTATCTGCAATAACTTATCTGTTTGTTTTAGATTCTGCCTTGCTAATTATTCTCTATTTTGAATCAAACCCTTGTTTGTAAAATGCCTCTGATGGGGCAAATGGTCTCTGAAAGTTCTTCCCAGACTTGTAATTCTAAGGCATTTTAGAACCAACACTCAAGAGCAGGAATCAGCCCAATAGACAGAATAAAAATGTTGGCATTTCTTTTGTATAAGAATGGCCTAGCAAAATGGTTTTGGGCGAATCCAAAGTGCTGGTTGCTAGGTGCAGAAACATTACCACTTTCTTTGCCTGATGGGCAAGCAGTCTGCCTCTACTGAGTAGAATCATGAATTGTGGATGTTAGCTTTTGCAAGTATCTTTCATAGTCTTTTTCCTAATTCAGCCATGTGCAGTCATTCTTGCGGATTATTATATTTGCCTGCATTCACCTTTGTTACATTCCTATTCTAAGAGCCTCAAAAATGTTCTTAGAGGTGAGACCCCCATCCCTGCCAGCTAGTCTAAAACTTCCCTTATTAGAGTCTTGGATCTGACTAGATTGTTCTGGCTATGAAAAATAATACTTCCTATAAACAATATTTTGCTGTTTGAATATCTTTTTTCTCTATCATTAAGGATAAGTGTATGACATGTATTTTCTATGTGGTTTATGCCTTGTTTCCTATTATATTCACCTTAAATTTGTGCTATATCCATTGGTGGCTCTCAAGATTAGTCACTCCATCTCCCCACCCTGGATTAGGCCATTAGGACCAGAAAGGGAGGTGAAAGGCAGGACGACTGAAGCCAGGGAAAGAAACAGACTCCTTTTAATACAAGTATCTGAAGGTGGAAAGAGAATGTTATAGACAACATAAAAATTGGAGGGTTTTTTAAAATTCTTTTTCATGAGGCAGTATGTAATTGTGATTCTTCTAATTTTGTATTTTTGTGACTTGCTCTGTTTAGAGGTTAACATATGAAGAAAGAATGGCTCGTCGATTATTAGGTGCTGACAGTGCAACTGTCTTTAATATTCAGGAGCCAGAAGAGGAAGCGGCTAATCAGGTGCGATGTTCCCCTGGACCTCTTAGACAGACAGCAGTTATTCTGTCCCCTCTCCCCATCCTGTTTATGGACACTAGTCTTGGGATCAACTCTGTGGAAAGTAGAGGGCAGGTCAAAGAAAAGCAGTATTAAAGTCATCAGTCAACCTCATAGCTAATATTTATTGAGCACATACTGTGTGCCAGACATTGTGTTAGGTGATTCATGGAATCATTTCAGTCAGTGATATCTGTTCCTTTTATCTTCTTATTGATGAGTTTATTCTCCTTTCTAGTATGTTTCTGTTTTTCCTGTCCTGTGCTTTCATGCAAAATAGTGTTGTGTGGAGAAACACATTTTCACTGAAATTGTTTGAAATAGCTAGTGAATATTTCCCATTATATCCTTAATATCTAGTCAAAGTAAAATATCTATGTATAGAAAAGGCTATGTCTTTATTTCCCTTGACATACAAAGTTATAAATCACTAATCAGTGAAAAACCTAAAATGCTGGAATAAAACCCTGCTACCACCAAAAGAAGTCACTTCATGGCTTTGATGTAAGCTATTTTATAATCTCCACTGTTTCTGTTTGGAGTTTCCAGACGTAGTCTCAAGATAAAAAAAATGTTTTTTAAACTTTTTTAAAACGAGTCAAAAGGATCAAGTAAACTCTTTCTCATGTCTTTTGAGAAATAGATCTGCCTCCAAAATCTGAAAGCTTTTCTGTGTTAAATATTGCTACCACAAAAATTTCACTTAAAGAAAACTAGAAATCTTGCTCGATTCTTATTATTTCTGTTATTAGTCTTCACTTCTTTTTTTCTACCATTACAGGAAATTGTGTCTCCTCATGCTTCTGTAGGGAGTCCTCTGGATGGTCAAAAGGTTAAGCTTTTCACCTTCCTTCTTTTTCCAGTCTTTCACTGTATCTATTTTCTTCTGTTATTCTTGCTTACCTGTGTATCTATCTTTACTGCCATATATTCATTATAAATACTATGACCAGTATCTATTTTCATTTAATATCAGGTGAACAAAATTGCCGCAATATGATTCTTCTTGTCATTTATTTACAAACTTGAATTTGATTCGGTATTAGTGGATACTTTGAACTTTAAATTGTGAAAAGTTTTTCATTTGTTATACCTTTCTAGGGGAAAAAGTCCTAATTCTTAAACTGATTAACTTGATAGTAATTAGACAAAACAAAACAACTTGTGTATTTTTTGCTATTTTATTCATACCGTTGTATTTCTTCCCTCAAGCCAACAACCTATTTTTTAAAGGTTGAATAACTTCTGTAAGAGAAAACCTAGTTAAAATAATCTCTTATTTTTCAATAGAGACTATTTTATAATGAGCTGCCTTGTCTTCATTGTACTTTGTAATCAGGAGAACTGCCGGATCCACATTAATCACCATAGAATGTTGATGAGTTCTTTACTTTGCTTTTGTTTTTTTAACCAAAATTTTAACTGGACTGTCAATAGTATTTTTCTTTTAAAGAGGGTGGAGAATAGTTCCTAATAGCTGCAGAGCTAAGGAGGAGTCCAGAGGCTATGTGGCTGAGGATTCTTATGAGTGAAAAAAACAGGGTGCTATTTTTTCCATTATTCTTTTGAAAAAGTGCTATGTAATATTGCAGCTGCTTGCCACATGTACTGTTAGCCTTCTGGAGAGGTGCACCACCCCACATCAGCTTTTACTCTACAGAAAGAAATCAGCGTTCCATCATGTTTTATTTTTATGAACAGTTCAGGAATATATAGCCTTTGCCTTTTTCTTTCTTCTCCCCCCACCCCTCCTAAGAGAAAAGAGAAAGAAATCCATCTTCATAGTTTTTTTTGGATGATAAGACTTGAAGACAGTTTGAAATATCATATATACTTACTTCCAGATGTTTTTTGTTTTATATGGAATTGAATTGGGTTCAGACTATGTTTTTAAGCTCTAAGGTAAAAATATCACTGTCTTCTGAGTGCCTTACTGGAGAGAGGGCTAAGACTCATGAGATACATCGTACCACAAGGGACTGAGGTTGCTAACATGACCTTTCCTTGTTTAATGTAGGAATACAAAGTCTCCAGCTGTGAACAGAGACTCATCAGTGAAATCGAGTACAGGCTAGAAAGGTCTCCTGTGGATGAATCAGGTGATGAAGTTCCATATGGGGATGTGCCTGTGGAAAATGGAGTGGCACCGTTCTTTGAGATGAAGCTGAAACATTACAAGATCTTTGAGGGAATGCCTGTAACTTTCATGTGCAGAGTGACTGGGAATCCAAAACCAAAGGTGAGCTAAAACCATAGCTTTTTGAGAGTTATATTTTCTGAGGAAGAGTTTAGCTTCCATGTATGTAGAAGGAAGAGATACAAACTACCTTTTATTTATTTATTTATTTATTTATTTATTTATTTATTGTGAGGAGATCAGCCCTGTGCTAACATCTGCCAATCCTCCTCTTTTTTTTTTTTTTTTCTGAGGAAGACTAGCCCTGGGCTAACATCCGTGCCCATCTTCCTCTACTTTATATGGGATGCCGCCACAGTGTGGCTTGCCAAGCAGTGCGTTGGTGCGCGCCC